TAATCGCACATTCATTCATTTTTTAACAAATCTATTACTTGTTAATTTTGCTCCCCTTTTTTACGGATCCTGATTCCTCATGCTTTCTTGGCCATTCCTGGCAGTTGATATATCATCTCATTGTACCTATAATTTAGCAATGTTCATAGACGTCCTTACTAGATCATAGCTAAGTTTTTTTATAAATTTTCTCCGGGTAGTGTTGTTGCTTCTGTTGAGGCTCTGCAAAACCCTTTGACGTCTGGGAGATTGCTTTTACTTCTCGACTCTGTTTCCGGGATATCCGAGACATCCCGTTCCAAGAGGGCAAAGAAGAAATCCAGTTGTGAAGTTGGTTCTGTTGTCCACGCCGAGGTTACTACGCCCTACTTTCTTATGTATTTCTAGTTTTACTCAACAAGCTCGTCTTTTTCAGTGAGCTTGAGGTGCAGTAGAAATTGATTCACTGTTGAAACTTGAGCAGAGTGAATACTCAGTTGTTGTCTTTTACTTTTTCAGATTACGGAAATAAGGCCATTTGAGCTAAGAGTAAACTTTGGCCAAAGTTTCCGAGGAAGGATCCACATAACGGAGGTGATTTTTCTTGTGTTGCCATCATTATTTTACATATTTGTATTAATTCTTCAGTATTTGATGGACGAAGATTTTCTTATACGACTCAATCTTGGTTGGATAGGTAAATGATTCAAGTACAAGTGAAGAACCGTTTGCCAAATTCAGAGTCGGGCAATCAATGTCTGCAAGGGTTGTTGCAAAGCCTTGTCATACTGATATTAAAAAGAGTCAACTTTGGGAGCTTTCTGTAAAGCCTGCAACTCTTAGAGGTAACCCATGAGAATTAAAGATATCACCAAACAATATAGCCCATTCACTCACATTTCGATTATATATTGTCGAACAATCACATGCTCTTAGTGTTAAAATATTTGTTTACGTTCGTCTAAATCTTCCAGGAAATTTAGATATGAAAATTTTACTCAAACAAGGTGATAACATAGTCTCCATTTCTTTTCTATGTTGCAATTTCATTAGACTCCAGTCAGTTGAATGACATACAAGTGAGTGAACAACTTGAGTTTGTTGCTGGAGAACGTGTCAGCGGATATGTCTACAAGGTGGATAAGGAATGGGTTTGGTTGGCAATATCTCGCAATGTGACAGCACGCATATTCATTTTAGACACTGCATGCGAAGCTCGTGAACTTGGGGAATTTGAGAGGCGTTTTCCCATTGGTAAAGCTGTTTCAGGCTATGTTTTGACGTATAATAAAGAGAAGAAGACATTACGTTTGGTTCAGCGTCCTCTACTTGATATCCCCAAAAGCATTGCCAATGGTGGAGGCAGTCAAACAGATAAACTAGACAGTGGCATTCCTGGTGATGATGCTACTTTATTTATTCATGAAGGAGACATTCTGGGTGGAAGAATTTCTAGGATACTTCCTGGCGTTGGTGGACTTCGTGTGCAAATAGGTCCTTACGTTTTTGGGAGAGTTCATTTTACCGAAATTAATGATTCATGGGTCTCCAATCCATTAGATGGTTTTCAGGAAGGCCAATTTGTCAAATGCAAGGTCTTAGAAATCAGCAATTCTTCTGGTAAAGGGATTTTGCAAATTGAACTGTCATTACGGACATCACTAGATGGCATGAGTTCTGACCATCTCTCAGAAGCTTCCAGTACCAAGTATGTTTTTTTTTGCCTATAATATGCATTACTGTCTGGGTTACTTTCAATATAGATTTAAGCTTTTCAGAGTTAGATCAAATGCCAGTAAGCTCATCATCAGCCTTTCAATCCGTGGGTGTTTCCTCCGTTATTAATAGAGTGGAATAAGTAACAGTTGATGATAGCTATTATTGGGATTTTCTCTCGCCCTTGACTCTATGTGAAGTTGAAATTCATGATCTTTCACTTGTATAACTTGCTGAAGATTTGTCCAATATACTTATTAAACTGATCATGATTTGCAGTGTCAATGTTTGCAAACGATTTGAAAGGATTGAAGATCTTTCTCCTGATATGGGCATCCAGGTACTTTTGCCATAAAACCATGATCCAGCAACCCTATTGGTTTCCTTATGGTAGATCTTATGTTAAGTTAAACTTGTACAGGGATATGTCAAGAATACGATGTCAAAAGGTTGTTTTATTATGCTTTCAAGGACACTCGACGCAAAAGTTCTATTGTCAAATTTATGTGATACTTTTGTCAAGGACCCCGAAAAGGAATTTCCAGTAGGAAAACTTGTAACTGGCAGGTAATGCTGATTTCCTGATCAACAGATATTCCGTAATACACTATATTCTGCTCTAACAAATTTAAATTTAGGGTGTTAAATGTGGAGCCGTTTTCCAAGCGGGTAGAAATCACTTTGAAGACAGTAAATGCTGGTGGGCAACCAAAATCTGTATCTTATGACTTGAAGAAATTCCAAGTTGGAGACGTGGTTTCTGGGAGAATCAAACGTGTGGAGCCCTATGGCTTATTCATTGAAATAGATCAAACGGCCATGGTAAAGATCTAGTTTTGTGGTACCTTGAAATATGTTAATATGTGTCCAAATCATTTATACATTATAACTATCCGCATTTTGTTTTGTGTTAGGTTGGATTATGTCATAAATCACAGCTTTCTGATGATCGTATTGAGGATGTACAAGCCAGTTATAAGGCCGGAGAAAGCGTCACGGCAAAGATTTTGAAGGTATGTGATCCTTTGTCAGGAAGCTAATTTGAATGTAGCTTTTCTTTGATTTACATTATCATCTTTTAAGATATGTTTCTATGGAATATAACTTTTGTTCCTTTTCATTTTGGTGTTTGCTCTAGCTGGACGAAGAAAAGCGACGTATATCGCTCGGAATGAAGAGTTCCTGTTTTATGGATGGTGATGATGTTGAGGCACAGCCACCTTCTGAAGAAAACGCTAATGAAGCCATCATGGAATGTGATTCAGTAAATGGTTCAAAGTCGGGAGGTACTGCAGCAGTTGGTGATTTTGGGTTCCTGGAAACAAGCGGTGAAAGGCATAGTGGAACTTCTCTGGTTCTTGCCCAAGTAGAATCAAGGGCCTCTATCTCTCCGCTTGAGGTTGACCTTGACGACATTGAGGAGTCAGACGTTGACAAAAATCATAATCAGGAGAAATTGCAGGGAGCCGATAAAGATGAAAAGAGCAAAAGAAGAGATAAGCAAAAAGACAAGGAGGAAAGGTTGGCTATATTTTCAGTTCCTGGTGTTATTATACATTTAGTTTCAACTTGTGCTGAAATAATCTACTTGTGTAGAGAAAAAAGAATTCAAGCGGCTGAAGTAAGATTGCTGGAGAATCATGCTCCTGAGAGTGCTGATGAGTTTGAGAAGATGGTTAGAAGCTCTCCAAATAGCAGCTTTGTCTGGATCAAATATATGGCGTTCATGCTCAGTCTGGCTGATATTGAGAAAGCCAGGTCCATTGCTGAGAGGTAAAGTTTCTTAACTTCTCTGTCTTGGTAAAGCATTTATGTTTCTATATTCGTTTTGTTCACCCTGACTTATCCTAATTCTCTACTCAAGGGCCTTGAGGACAATAAATATTCGTGAAGAAGAAGAGAAGCTAAACATATGGGTTGCGTACTTCAATTTGGAAAATGAACATGGAAGTCCTCCAGAGGTAGAACCTATAATTAGAAGTCACCAATAAACAATACGCATTATTATACCTACCTATCTAACTCTCCGGTTTGTTTCTCATACCCAGGAAGCTGTTAAGAAAGTGTTTGAAAGAGCCCGTCAATACTGTGACGCGAAGAAAATTTACCTTGCCCTTTTGGGCGTGTACGAGAGAACTGAACAATATAAATTAGCTGATAAGCTGCTTGATGAGATGGTCAAGAAGTTTAAGCAATCTTGCAAGGTACATGATGTTTGATCTTTTTATCTTCCCAAAGCGAGGGTTGGCTCTTCTTCGCTCGTTCGCTCTTTCAACAATTGTTGATGTGATGTGTGCTTTGTAGGTTTGGTTAAAGAAAGTGCAAAGTTATCTAAAGCAAAACGAGGAAGGCGTTCAGTCCGTTGTGAATCGTGCCTTGCTATGTCTTCCGCGCCGTAAGCACATTAAATTCATATCACAGACTGCTATCCTTGAGTTCAAATGCGGAGTTGCGGATAGAGGAAGATCACTTTTTGAAGGCGTTCTTAGGGAATACCCGAAAAGAACAGACTTGTGGAGTGTTTATCTTGACCAAGTTCGTTATTTTCCCGCTTCTTCGAAAACTTCAGTTTTATTGCCATCTTTGCAGCTTTTTTAATGTGAATTTTTTTCTTGATGTACAGGAGATCCGGTTGGGAGAAGTTGATGTGATTAGATCTTTATTCGAGAGAGCCATTAGCTTGAGCTTGCCTCCTAAGAAGATGAAGGTGTGTGCCCATAGCCTTATAACTTCATAGAAACTCGTTTATAAAGCGACTGTTTTTAAACCACTTTGTGCTTTGTATCCTCAGTTTTTGTTCAAGAAATACTTGACATATGAGAAGGCTGCTGGTGACGAGGGGAAAGTCGAGTACGTGAAGCAGAGGGCGATGGAATATGCAGATAGTACCTTGGCCTGAGATTTTGTTGTAACGAAGTAACATTTTTGTAATTTTGAGAAAGAGCCATTGAACAAGGCTTTAGGAGTGAAATACTCTCTAAAATGTTTAAGTGTAAAACGAACAACTTTTGAGCTTTTTGATCAAAGGGTTTAAGAGAACTTGTGGTGGTTATCGTATTTTATTATGTCTGAAACAAATCTTTTAGTTAACATTTGTTTGAGTAAAAACCATGCCTGCCTTGTGTTTTGTTAAGTCAATAGGAGCAATATACTCCTAAATGCAAATATGCCAACCTCAATGGCTGCAGCTTCAGGACGATCATTAGACCATGCTTTACTCAGACTGAATCGAATTAAGCCGACTCATGTCATATCAAAGAATATTTTTGAGATGGAATCTTCTAGGATGTGGGAAAGGTGAGAGATATCGGTTGACGAACCAGCTCCAACATCAATGGTTTTGGTCTAGATATAAGAAACCATCAAACTATTGTAGACCCTGGCCCATCAAAGGAAGCCTTGTGATCGACACAAGTTTCCCATATTTAAAAATAATAAAAATAGTATGCTAATCCAAACACATCCTTTAATATCAATAATTCATTTGCATCCCTTTACTTTTAAGTAACATAAAAAAAAAATTGGTTATTCTTTCTATACACAATGATGATACCCACATCTCAACTTCTGTACATAGGGAAGTAATCCTCTACAAAATGATGGAGAGAGAGAGAATAAGGATTAGTCGTTAAACTCATCTGCCCTCAAGACACAAGGCAGCTCCTAAGACTCTGGATACTGGATATTTTCCAACTCTTTGCATCCTATAAGCAATAATGTCGATAAGCATGTAAGTATTCACAATTCACCACTTAATTTATAAATTCCATATGTACTTTCCAGCTACTAAGATTTTGGACTCAGTAACGCACCAGGCCGAATCATCGAAACCATCAATAGTGGAGCTGACATGCTTTATAAGTTGCAAGCCTCGGGAAGAGAGGGGACTGTGAAGAGGATGACCTAATGCAAAGCGTAATGCACACGCTCGAGCAACTGTACCACTTGGTGTAGCATGAGAGGCGGCGGAGTTGAACGTTGTTTTAAACTTGCTTTTGATGTGCTTGGTGATGGATGAGGTGTCGATAAAACTGACTCCTGCTGCCTATTTGTAAGCTCCAAGAACTGAGCAAGCATGTCACCGTCCAATATCTTTGTTGCTTGGGACTGCAACACGTGAAAACCAATAGATAAGAGGTATTTTTTTTCAGTAAGCCACATATGTGTCCACATTGCACGAAACAATTAATGACCCCCACGATGCAGACATTGAAGTAGTTTTTTTTTGTTTACTTACCGGATTCTCTCGACCTCGGAACTCCTCATGATCATTACCAAGAACAGGAGCAGTAAGCGGATGGACCACGAGCTTTGCTTGAACAGCTTCTAGGAGCTCATATTCCTCCCTACAGAAATTTGTGATCAGTCATTGGACTTGCGAGGAAAATAAGTACAAGGTGCAAGCTTAAGGGTAACTAAGTATAACACAAGACCAAAAAGCCAAAATTTGATGGAAAGAAGGTCACACCAATATATTTTGCAAACACATGTAAATACCATAATAAACTAAGCTATGTCTCAAGTCAGATGTTCAAATCATACCTTGAAATAGGGGAAAAGACATATATGCTTCCCAATAGCGTGCCCGCTATGATAGTGTCATCACCCGCTTCAATACTTTTACTAAGACCATAACTTCGCAGTACATCATCAGCTGGAAGTTTGTAAATGTTGCAACCCTGTTAAGAAGATAGGGGACAAGCAGTAATGAATTGCCATAGTTAGGTAACTGCAATGTCTAACAAGAAACTTTACTGAAACTGTCTAGTGGCTAGGTACACTATTGCCATTCCAATTATAGTCCTCCGTCACAATTCCTAGAACAGAAATTGTACTGGCACTAAGTCCACGGTAACTAAGTTAAGCTCAATTCATTGTACAGTGAAATGCTCATTGGAAGTGTAGGATTTACCTTTTTGATAGCCATGGCAATCTCACCCATGTAATAAGCACAGTTTAGATTCAAATTGGACTCCGGACTTGAATATTCTGGATCATCACGAGGCGTTTTCAGTTAGCAAATTGAGGAGAGATCACAACTTTTTAAGAGTAAAAAGAGAGCAATATCTGAGCTAATGGAGAAAAGGCTAACTGTTTCGTACCAAAGTCTGAGTGATCTTTACAAGACAGGATAGCTATACTCCCCTTGCGATCCGATACAGCAACAGAATTGGCATCCATTAGAAAGCAATCAGCAACTAACCTCTGCGCTGGATCACAATATATTTGCTGAAGTTTCTTCACATCCTTCAATAACATGAAAAAAACGAAAAAGAATCTCAAACATTGATAGCCAAACATTTAAAAAGGCAAACAAAGAAAAGGACAACAGAACAAACCTCGTGATAAGAATAAAATAGAACACCGTCACGGCAATCCCCAACAACAATTCGAGTGAAGTATGTGCGTAGAGATGTTATCATGAAACGAGTCCTTCCCACCGCAAACCTCTTCATTTTCTCAGGACTATCGTTCGGAAATCCACATACATAGAACTATAGAAGACCAACATATTTGTTAGTAGATTAACATGCTAAGAATTGGCAACAGAACTGTAGATCATTAAAAGTAAGGCTTACAGCATTGCCAGCAGAGGCTAGGAAGTAATGATCAAGGTACGGACAGATCGCAAGTACCATTCCGGGCCAAGTGGTTGCAGAGGCCAATCTTAACTGCCATGTTTCAGCTTCATCAAGTTTGATTCCATCATAGCTGTTATCATCTGGACTGCTGCAAAGACTACCGCTTGATAGTTGTTCTGTTGTATATCCCGCAACATCACGAAAAGGTGATGTACGCTGGGAAGATGAACCAGCCTTTGAACAAATTGTCATTGAGCCACTATCCGAGTTTTGAATGTGTTCTAGGCAGAGAATGATTAATCGTCCTTTTGTACTGTAAGAAAGGCATTCAAAGGTACACACATAATCAGCACAAAGTTCGTCTTACTTCAGTCACCACTTTAACTCCGTGGACAATATTAAAAAGTGGGGAAGAACCAGATTTCAAACCTTTCAGCTTCACCACTAGGTAGTATAGCAGGACCAGAAGACAGACTCGTCCCCACCACAAGGATCTGCTCATTCCCCACACGTAGAAGCTCCATTGACTTTCCAGTTTCTCCAGGTTTGAGCTTGTAGGATGACAACACTGACCCACTGAGCGGGTCCACACAGCATATATCAGACGCACATGCATCATACAAATCAGTTCTCATCACAATCAATAGTTTGCTTTCACTATGGTAGAGAACCTTTCGTGGAGTGCCTCCAAGGTGAAACTTTTGCGCATTAAGCCGTTTGCTGTGCACCATCTCCACCTACAAAAGAAGCATATACATAAGGCGACCATAGCTGGACCAAAATAATAGCTCCATTGCACTCCCACAACTGTTTATCGTGTATAAGACTACTAAACTATAGATGCAAGCAATTCATAGATACAGTTCCTTGTTCTTTGATCAATGGAATTTGCATATCTTTGTACAACGTACAGCACAATGGAAATCTTGAATTGAAATTTGTAAAATAGAGCATATATATTTACCAGATGTAAACAGTTCTCTGCAACGAAAAGAATTCCTTGAGGGCATTCAGAGGAGCATACAGGTGTTGCATGAGTAGATGGTTGGAATGCAATGGAAGTATAAGAAAGACTTTGTCGAGCTGTTTGTAACAACCATGGCCTGTCACTAAGAGCTATGATGTCTGAATCCAGTGAGTCACTGAACGGAACCAGAAAAACAGGTGTGATGCCGATGCGTCGGGTAGCAATTAACACAAGGTTGACGGGTAAATTGTCTCTTTCACCCACAACCATGTCCATCTCTTCTTTACAGTGACTACTATAATCTGGGCAGTTCAACCCGGATGAATGTGAAAAGGGAGGCCACTCAAAACGGAGCAGCATTCCATTTCTCAACCCAGAAAGGACATAAACTTGATCCACTAACACGAGCCTTACGTCTTGAGGAATACATCCACTAATAGCAGTTCCCAATGAGTTTGTTAGCGATACCAAACCAGAAGCAAGAACTCGAACACCATCTTCTGAGAAGGAGATGACCTCAACTGAAGGCTTATGTGTGCCAATCAAAAACGTATAGCCTCGCTCCATACCAGAAGGAATCGCAGCTTTGCAACTATTATCCAGGGCGGCAGCACGGGACCTCTTTTTCCCAATATATCTTTGAGGAATTGAGATGCAGGAAACTTCATACTGCAATGTTACGCGTTGAATTTCATAGATTTCGCAGCATTGTCTTGATAGTGATTTGACCCCAAGAATAGACAGGAAACAAGGGTTAGACGTAGAGACAACTATCAGATCTTTACCAACTGCCCCCAAGCTGATACTGACATTATCTGGAAACCAAGAGGAGAAAAACGGTGAAGAGTCAGAAATACCATCAGAATGGGCATCCATGGTGGGCATGCACAGCCTTATTGCATCTTGGTGAATCTGAACCAGCAAACCATCGGCAACAAGCCCACATGCCAAGGTGCAAACATCAGGCTGGAAACCAACTGAATCAGTGACATCTTTAAAACTTAATCCAACTGATAATACCCTCGTCTCCTCAACAAATGACAGAACAAGAAATGAATGGTACACATCAGTAAGCTTCATTTTAGCAGTCCAAGTACCAGTTATTCCTTGATAAACAGGTGCGGTTTTCACAAGTTTTTCTACATTAATGCCACTACGAATAATTCTTAAAGAGCCTTCAGGCGTTACACCACAGCAAGCAAACATTTGGTCTTGTTTCTCATTCTGGACATCCACAACCGAAATATCCAAGATCGGAGCAATATTTTGTATAGAACTCATCCTCATCCAATGTTGCTTATCAGTTCCCAATTTGAAAACCGTTCCATCTGCCATTTCAGCGAACGTAGCCAGGAACCCACCTTCGACCCACAAAATTTCCTTGCATGGTAAGCCTTTGTATAAACACTCTGATAGATTAACTTTAACCCCATCATCTTCATATAAGAGTTCAAACATGAAAAATTCACCATCATCTAAGCCAATAATCATCCTGGGATTATGATTATTTTCCGGCTCCCAAGTCCAAGAAGAGACATGCTTAGAGCTCAACTTCCCAATGTCACTTTCAGTATCTAACAACATGGGATCATAATCCCTGAGCTCTAACAAAGCACATGCAGCAACATTAAAAAGACCCTCATCGTCACCATCTTGTACTCTACACGACTCTTCAACAAAATGCTCTTCCATTAATGAAGCAGGAACACGATCTAAACATGTCCTAAACAAAGAGCAAGGGTATTGAGGATCTCTAAGATCCATTAAGAGCGCATCACCGATCCTGAACAGAAAGGCGAATCCAGAGGAGTGAGGAACTTCAACAATACTATGTGCTAGTGCCCCAGCTTCAACATACTGTGATACGAAACAAATGGACTCGTCTTTGACATTCCATCTAAACAAAACCAGTTCATTCAGGGGAGCCCCTTTCCTATACAATCATAAAGATACTGAGGTAAGCACCCCTGGGACGAGAGGATGACAGGCACCCTTATGAAGCAAGGATATTAACTGCAAACAAAGCTTTTCAAACTGCAAGGATTCCGTACCTATTTAAAACAACGGCAAGAACAGGATCATACTCCTTGGATTCATTTACATCTTTAGAAATGAAACACATGCTCCAAATAGTACCAGATATTGCTTCTAAAGAGCTTCCATTCCCTCCGTCTTCAGAAGGATAGCAAATCCTCTATAATTAAAGAAGTTAAATATACTTTTAGCAACTATCTCTATATCACAATTAAAGAAGTATCCCTTCTGTCTGCCAAATTTACAAATGCTCCAGAAGTTGGTGACAGAAATCAGTACCTTGCGAATTATATCACCCATAGACGACGTTGAGAGGGAAAACAGAGCAAAAGAATCATGATACGCGCTGACAGCAAGAAAGAGACCACTGCAAAATGCGTTACAGCGTTGATATTACTCGTTGCTATTCAATATATACAAAAATGTATTAAGGTGTGCTTAGAAACATGAACGCTCCGATGAATTCAATTTTCTAGAAAATCCTATAGTGAGAAGAAAAACAGCAGCTATTATCGTAAAAGTAGTATCTAAAGTCATCAACAGATACGTAATAAAACCATGGTTTATAGAAACTAGCATGAAAACTTGCCTGGAATCTACAGTAAGCATTTTTCCAAGTTGAATCCTTGAGTTCCCTGGACTAGAAAGTTGAACATGTTGTATGGGCGAGAACCTACACCAAACGGCAGTAAAATGAGCAAGATGACATGAGGTTTTAGGGATAAATAAGAGTACACGAGAAAGAAACCTGTGCATTTCATTGCTAAATGAGAGAAATGAGAGCTTCCCAGAATCAGAAAGAACAGCCAAGAGGTCTTTTCCCATCTGCAAAAGATAACAGATGGTTGACACATCAAATCACAGACATATGCCTTCCTAATACTACCAAAACAGCAGCTAGATTGTTACCCATTTGAAAAATCTCTGCACGAGTAAAATTCCTGATAACAAAAACTAACTATCCCGTGTCTAAATGGAAAATGTTTACCTGGAAACTATTTGAATATAGTTTATTACTCTGAGGTATGACAGCCAAATCCTTAATTGTTCCGAACACATTCTGTTCACACACAGATTCAACGATCCCGTCTTCACCAATAACCACCAATTCTATGCAGGTTTCCTGGTGTAAGAAAAAAATAAACCTTCTAGTTACTAACTAAGCAACAAGATATAATATAGCATTATACATGGCACATACGAATTGATCCAGACGAAAGCGTTTCCCGCAAACACATAAAATAATCCTGGAGCCATGAAGTCTTTATGATCAGAAAACTCTTCACAGGTAACTAAACCAAAACAAACTTTTTAGGATCTAGGCTCCTGCTAGGCAGATGCACCCATATTTGAAAAAGGTGTTTTTTTACAAATTCAGAAGGAAATTTCGGAGAAGAAAGACAAAAGAAGGTGAATTTCAAGCTAGAGACCAGAAGGTGAAGAAAATTTCCTGAATTTGTAGGCCTGACTGGATTTCTTCTTTACAAATAAAGACTCCTTGCTAAATATACATTCATTCAAATCCTAAATCTGCAGTCTTTTATAATACCCTGATGCAACTACCAAGTTGTAACCACAAGAAAGCATACAAATTTTGCTCCTTTTCACAGTGACCTCGCGAGAATTTCAAACAAGTGCAGCAGATTCTTAGCAACAAGTTTGCAAAATCTCAATCCCTAAACGAGAGAGATATTTTCAACGGAATCAGAGTCCAAATCCTAAGAGTCGGAGATTAGAGAGGAAGAAGGAGCAAGGTCGGACCTTTCCGAAAACTATGTCGCGGGAGGAACGAGAGCGGAAGTAGCCATATGCAACCTGGAGAACGACGCTGGGGCGGAGGACGCACTTGGCGAGGTAATGATCCCCGGCGGAGGAAGGGGAAGACGACGGAGGAGGGGTAGGAGCGGCAGTGGCAGAGGATGATTGAGACTGAGCGGAAGATTCATCCTCCGGAGCCGCCATCATCAAACACAAAGGGACACGGCAGGGATCGGTGCTTTGTTTAATTTCCTCCGAGTCTCGGGAACAAATTAAAAGGAAAACTTGCAGTATGACACTGTTCGATATTAAAAATCAGTTTTTTCCATATATAATAAAATCGTCATTAACATATCTACCCTTCCTAATTTAGTAATCTTCCAAAACAAAACAAAAAAATTATCCGGGATGTATCGTCTTTGTATTAGTAAGTAGTAACGCAGTCGTAATCTGGATTTACATTCGGTGATACATGTGAATGAACACTGTCCATGGAATGATACAGCAGTTGAGGAAGCATTACGGAACAATCATCACGAGCATCATTAGTACTAGTAATTATATCAAAAGACAATTTTGTTGTTCTTGAATTTGTATTAACTTATTTGGGCTCCGACTATGTCCTCAAGTTAAGATTTTAAGTACTCTCAAATGAGATGCGCTTAAGTACATATATTGACTGTACAAAATTACAAGAAATGTTGTAAGAGAGACAGAGAAACCTGTAAGTAAAATAAATAAAGGGAATAAAAAAACAGGAGAGAGTAGAAAGAAGAGGCGACCAAAGTTGTGGTAAAAAGAAAAGAGACCCGATTATTGCGCCAAAACCAGAGGTGTGTCTCCCTCTCTCTTCATTTCCCTCTCCTTTCTTCTTCTTCTTCCTCCTTCATCTTGATCTCGCCGTCGTCAGATCTCCTTACAGCCTCTCTTAGTTCCTGCCTGCGATTTATATATCCCTCTCTTTTCCGGACACGAATTCTACGGTAATTTTTTTTTGTTTTAATCTACATTCCTTTCATCAATCCAACAGTTGAATTTTGCCTGTAAATCTTTCGTTCATACCCTGAATCTGTCATCTGTATAATCTGCGAATTTTTGTTCTTTATCGTGTTGGTTCCTCTGATCGGATTGAAGAATTGTCTAGTTTGAATTTTTCGTTCATGCCCTGAATCTGTCATCTGTATCATCAGCGAAATATTTGTTCTTTATCGTGTTCGTCCGTCTGATCGGACTGAAGAGTGTTCTAGTCTGAATTTCTATCGGTCGTTTGTTTTTGCTGGTTAACGAAATGTAGAGATTTTGATTTAGGGGTGCTTATGAAATTCGTCGCTTAATCAAGTGGATTTGATAAATCTGAATCTAGCGATGCTTCTTCTTCAATTTTGTTTGTTCACTGCAGACGAATTCCGCAATGGATCCTCCAGTGTCAGATCCTGACAAAATCGAGGATCAGAAAGAAGGAGGACCTTTGTTTCACTGTCAGCTTTACGACACAGAAGTAGTTCACAAGATAGCTCAGGCTTTTCTTCCCGGATTAGCCACTGCTTGTGTCGACAACACGACCGGAGATATCTTCAGGAGTCCTGGTTCCGTGGCCGCCGACATCCGAAAAGAAATGATCGATTATTTGACTCGGAGAAGCGAAACCTTCGTCGCCGAGCACATTGTCCTTCAAGGCGGTTCGGAGACTGAATCTTCCCATGATCCTTACGACATCATCTCCGACTTCATCGACGACTTCGCAACCTCCAAGAGGAATCTCTTCAGCCGGGTCTCGGGTTGGTTGCTTAGCGAGAGGAGAGAAGACAACATTGATGATTTCGCGCAGGAGATGGAGATAAGCGGCTTCTGGCTGACTGATCACAGAGAAGCCATCGCACAGACGCTGCTTAAAAACGTCGACTTTAAAAACAGCTCTCACTGCGAGAAGAAGTTCCAAACCGAAGGAGAACTCGCCGAGCACACCTTGGTCTGTGGGTACAGGACGATGAACTGCGAGAACGAAGGCTGCAATGCCGTCTTCTGCGCGAACCAGATGGAGAATCACGATTCCGGTTGCCCCTTCAAGGTAATACCGTGTGAGCAGAACTGCTCGGAGCGTATCATGAGACGTGAGATGGATAGGCATTGTATCACCGTGTGTCCTATGAAACTTGTCAACTGTCCGTTTCATGCTGTTGGTTGTCTCTCTGATGTGCATCAGTGTGAGCTCCAACAACATCACTTGGATAACGTTAGCTCTCACCTGATGTACATTCTTCGGAGTATCTACAAGGAAGCATCTCCGGATGATCTCAAACCCAGAGCTGAACAGATACAACAGGTGAAAATATCTGCAAAGTTTCAATTTTTCTGAGCTAGATTGCTTCAGTTATACTCGGTGTAGCTTAAACATGACTTTTTTTTTTTGCTTGTGGTATGTTGCAGTTGTCTACTCGATTATCTGAAGCTCGAAATGCAAGATCGCTAACGAATCTAGTCAAGGAAATTGATGCAAAGCTGGGGCCTTTAGAAATCAAACCGAAGAATTTTGAAGATACAGAAAAGAAAGTTTTAGAAGAAGCTGAGATCAAAGAAAAAGCAGAGACAGGTGGCTCGCCGGAGCAAGGCGCGAGGGAAGCTCTGGAAGATGAAGTGGTTTCAAGAGAATCAGAGGATTTAGCAGATGAAGCAAAGGTGGAAGAAGTTGTAGAGAAAGTTTCGGAAGCTGAGATAGCAGAAAATGTTAATGAAGAAGGCGAACTAAAAGCTCAAAAGCTTTTGGAAATAGGCGAGTTCATCAAAGAAGGAGACAAAAACTCTCCATCTGATTTGTCAGTGAGAACTGAAACCAAAGCTCCAGAAGTTGTGGTCATGGATGAAGATAGAGAAGAGGAGGAGAGTGCAGAGACAAAACACTCAAGAACAAATGAAACCAGAGGTTTAGAGATTGAAGTCAATGACATGATTGATGAAGGGGATAGAGAGACAGAGAAATCAACCGAAGCTCCATCAAGAATAGTGATGGACAAGGAGGAGGAGGATGAAAAGGGTAGAGAGTTAGTGAATGTAAGGGCTCGTGCTTCTGATGAAGCTGAAGCATTGTCAAAGAGCTCAGAAGGTTTTTCTAAAGCGCAAACTGAAACCGTACCCAATATGTCTTAACTTAACATCTTTGGTTGACAGAGAGGGAGAGAGAGACCCAACTTAACATGGAGTGTTTTTTTTTTTTCCTTTGGACAAGATTTTTTGTTTGTTTTGCCTGTCTGAAAATATTAACGAGTCATCGAATGTAATCCAATTTTGTATTTTGTTCAACCAATTGTGTTTTTTTGTTTCAATTGAAAATGATTTCGATTTTTCTTCAATTTCTATATTTTGTAAGCCAAAAGAATAAAAATCGTAAAACGAACCGGGAAGACTGACTGGCCAGTGGACATCACCCAAGTACACTACACAAGTCAATTCTTCAAATTAGAAGTTTTAGGCTTCTACGGGATGTAATTAAGAATAGAGGGACCAGACTGCAAAAACAACCAGCTCTTATGGTCGGTAGATACAGAAACCCAAACAAAAAAAACTTGTCGCAGCAAAACGAAAGTAGCAGAGTAAGAGTTTTGTGTGGCTAGTGGTATCAATGGAGCTCTCGATCTCGCAATCACCGCGTGTCCGGTTCTCGCCTCGTTTCTTAGCAGCTTCTCATCGTCACCAGCCTCCGGTGCATTTAGCTGGGAAGTTCTTAAGCCGCTCTACAGATGTTGGCCTCACGAGCTTATCAACTTGGAGAATGCGGTCCAAATTCGTTTCAACTTACTACAGAAAAATCTCGATCCGGGTTTGGTTTCATTCCACCTCTTTTCTCAGCTTTGTTTGAGACTTTTACTCGAAAATGGGTTTCAGGTGAACTATGAGATACCTCAAGTTTTTCTTCACTCTGAAAGATTTATAAATTCAATTAGCCGGGGAAGCTTTTTGTGCTACAAGACCTGCAATTTAGGATAGAATTGTCACATCTTTTCCCGTTTCTTTCATATTGCGATATGTATTGTTCTTGTTTCTCCAATATCGAGCTTGATTGCTATCGCTCCAATAATCATATCAATTCAAACAAAGTTTGATAATTCTTGTGTGCGTTCTTTATTGATTTGAACAACATTTTATGTTGCTTCTTTTGAGACTTGTTCGTTTGTATTCTTAAAGAAGATACTACATGTGTATCAGGCATGTTCTGAGGTTGGTGCTGCTGGGTCCGATCCACTTCTAGACAGGATTGCGCATTTCCAAAATGCTTGCTGGAGATTTCTTAGGCCCCATACAATCCGTGGAACAGCTTTAGGCTCCACGTAAGTCTTTTGCTTATGCGTATTGAATTGTAAGGAAAGTTCAATTTCCTTGGTCTCGGTAAGCTTTGACTTTAACATTTTAATGGCAGTGCGTTGGTGGCAAGAGCTTTGATAGAGAACAGTCATCTGATAAAATGGAGTCTCGTACTAAAGGCACTTTCAGGTCTTCTTGCTCTTATATGTGGGAATGGTTATATCGTTGGCATCAATCAGATCTACGACATTGGAATTGACAAGTACGTATCAAGATTGGTGCATTGATTTTTTTAATGCTAACTATGGGAACTCTTCATTAATGTGTGCTTCTACAAGTCTTGAGGAAATGATCAACTTTTATTAGATTCTGTATTGTTTGCTTCCTGAATAAAATTGTATCATTCATTTCTTGAGTTCAAGCTTTTGGAGCATCTCATGTTCAGTGTGTTACTTCTTATGATATGATCATTGCATCCATATCAGTATGTCATTCCTACTTCTGTTGGTTTAAGCCTGACTCATATTGTTATGCAGAGTGAACAAACCATACTTGCCAATAGCAGCAGGAGATCTCTCAGTGCAGTCTGCCTGGTTGTTGGTGGTATTTTTTGCAATTGCGGGGCTTTTAGTTGTCGGGTTTAACTTTGGTCCATTCATTACATCCTTGTACTCTCTTGGACTTTTTCTGGGAACCATCTATTCTGTTCCACCTTTTAGAATGAAAAGATTTCCAGTTGCAGCATTTCTTATTATTGCCACGGTAGGCTTCTCAATCTGATTGTTCAACTGTATCATCACCATATGTGGTAACTTGGGAACTTCAGAATGGCATTTAGTAACATGTCTTTGTGTATCGACATCAGGTACGAGGTTTCCTTCTTAATTTTGGTGTGTACCATGCTACAAGAGCTGCTCTTGGACTTTCGTTTCAGTGGAGGTTAGTAGTCATATGCACAATACTTATCAAGCAGGGTATGAGATGAATTGTGCTTGTGCATGCTTGTATGAATACAGTTTCCAAACATGTGATGGCCCAAAGTATCTTTCTATTTCATCATAACGTAATGAAGCGCATATCTATTCGAAATTTGCAGTGCGCCGGTGGCTTTCATCACGTCTTTCGTGACACTGTTTGCACTGGTCATTGCTATTACAAAAGATCTTCCTGATGTTGAAGGAGATCGCAAGTAAGTAATTGCACATATACCATTGCAATGGAACAGATATACTCTGCATCCCATTTTACTATCCCGGTTTCTTTACGCAGTTGTGATATGTTGTCCTGAACATAGCACAGGAGATTTTATTTCTAAGGTTGTAGCGTCATCAATCCTGTTTTCGGTTAATATTGAATAGGTTCCAAATATCAACACTAGCAACAAAGCTTGGAGTGAGGAACATTGCATTCCTCGGTTCTGGACTTCTCCTGGTTAACTATATTTCTGCCATATCACTAGCTTTCTATATGCCTCAGGTTATACACATATCAACTCTTTGAATTGTTTCCAAATTTTTTTGCTGTAATACTATCACATATGCAGCTTTGAAACACGACCTCTCCATGATTTGATGTTTGACAGGTGTTCAGAGGTAGCTTGATGATTCCTGCACATATGATCTTGGCTTCATGCTTGATTTTCCAGGTAGAATACTCTTATATTTATTTCACTGCCATATTCATCAATCTCCGACAGTTTCCAATGTCGCTGGTGTTGTTCTTTTGTAGACATGGGTACTAGAGAAGGCAAACTACACAAAGGTAAAACATCAATTTCTTAACACGAAATGATTTCAGAAGATGATGAATGATCAATGGGAGTGTGTATCTAATGGATTATAAAATGATTCCAGGAAGCTATCGCAGGATATTACCGGTTTATATGGAATCTCTTCTACGCCGAGTATTTGTTATTCCCCTTCTTCTAAGCTTTCATGGTGAACATTTGCAGATTTCTCTGTATATCTTTCTTCTTCTTTGTAGCTTGGAGTCAGAAATCAGTTTGTTCATGTACATACTAAGAGGATTTATATGTTCTTCTGAGTTTTAATATCTTGCAATAATAATGCTTGTACGGTTGTGGCAACGCAAACGCCAGCCTTTTGAGTTTGATGATCACTGAGTAGCTTTGAACCTTGAAAGAATAGAATTTGAAAAAATGCCATCTTAAAAAATATATATTAGAAAACGATAACATTAAATAAAATAGACAGTTTTATGTAAAAGAAACAATTTGTTACAATAGTCCCGCAAATGAATGAACCAGCTAACCAAAAATAAACCGTGGAACACATTAACCCGGTTCTTTACTGGATAAACAAAACATGGAAGCCCATTTTGACAGCTCCATAGTAGAGCCCAAAACCCTAATCCCCATCATCTTTATATAAATTTGCTCTTAGGGTTTTTGTCCGTCCTCCTGAAGCTCTTTGTTCTTTCTCTCCGCCGTCTCTCTTCATCCGCGCGACGCTTAACGATCTCAGGTGGCCGATCTTGTCTCTCGAAATTCGCTCTCACTACTCTCTTATCGTATTTGTGCATTTGACTCAATACTGTGTCTCTCTCACAGCCATGGCCTCCGCCGCAGAAGTTGACGCTGAGATTCAGCAACAGCTCACCAACGAGGTCAAGCTCTTTAACCGCTGGACCTATGATGACGTTTCGGTAATCTCCTCAGCGATTCATTCTCTTCTTTTGATTTTGATTTTTGAACCCTTTTCTCTGTCTCTCTTTTAGTTGACGTTTCATCATCTGCTTAGTCATTGCTTTGCTTCGTTTTAAGCATTCAATTTTGTTGGAATCTAGCCTTTTAATGCATTTTACATAAATAATTGCATTTTGGCTTTACTCATGATGTCTATATCAAATAGCAGAACCGTTTTAATCTATCTTCATACAGTGTTTCCTATAGGTTTCATTGCTTGGTATAACCATTGCTGTAAACATTGCTCTGAAGTGTAGTGATTGTTCTCCTTGAGCTCAGTAGCTTAGTTTTAGTAGCTGGATTCTTTAGTTTTATAAAGATTGGAGCTTTATTTTTTTGTGTCATGTAGTCTGATTCTTGGGTCTTGTAAGTAACAAATGGTATTTGGATTTTCTTATTTTGTAGGTCACAGACATCAGTCTTGTCGACTACATTGGAGTTCAGGCAGCTAAGCATGCGACTTTTGTTCCCCACACCGCCGGAAGATACTCTGTGAAGAGATTCAGGAAGGCTCAATGCCCCATTGTTGAGAGGCTCACAAACTCTCTGATGATGCACGGAAGAAACAACGGAAAGAAACTGATGGCTGTAGGGATTATCAGGCACGCTATGGAGATCATCCATCTCTTGACCGACCAGAACCCAATTCAAGTCATCATCGATGCCATTGTTAACAGGTAATAAAAGCTTTTTGATTGACTGCAAAAGCATTGTGTATTATCATCATTTCAACAATGAGCACTTTTTTTTCTCATGATTGTTTTGTTACTTGAACCAGTGGTCCTCGTGAAGATGCAACTAGGATTGGATCTGCTGGTGTTGTTAGGAGACAAGCCGTGGATATCTCCCCTCTGAGACGTGTTAACCAGGCCATCTTCTTGCTTACCACAGGTGCTCGTGAGGCTGCTTTCAGAAACATTAAGACTATTGCTGAGTGCCTTGCTGATGAATTGATCAACGCAGCCAAGGGCTCTTCCAACAGGTAAAACACACACACACTAAATCATTATCGATCACACACTACATAGGTATATGATTATCGAGCGCTTAAGATGCTAATATTAACATCTTAATCCCTTGCAGTTATGCCATCAAGAAGAAGGATGAGATTGAGAGAGTTGCCAAGGCCAATCGTTAAGGAGTTTCCTTTATCCCTGATGGTTACAATCTTTTATCAGTGAAGTTTGTGTTTTTATTTCATCTAGATTGGAATATGTGTCAGATGTTTTGCTCTTTTGTTCTATGAAGTTTATTTCGTCTGAACTACTTTGAATAGATAAATTTTGGTGCTTATTAAGTGATTTCGCATCAGTTTATCAACAGCTTTTTAGCACCTGAAGTTATATCTTTAGAGTCGCTTAAGAATTGAAGTAGCTCTTCAATAAAAATAACTGAGGTAACGAGATCGCTGAAGTTGTAGTGACAAATTCGTCGTGGTTGGATTTTTTATGAGTCATATTTACGTCTCAGTTTACTGTAGATTTCTAGTCAGTTCGAATTCGATTCAATGATTAATATTCAATAAGTACTAGAATAACAAGATCCTTTTATAGTTTACAATCTTGAAACGTTCAACTATATGATTAGAAGGAAAAATACAATAATAGGTGAGCCCAAACGACAGGACTACAAGCCATGGCTTTATTATTCGACCCAATTCATATTCGTTCATAATGACATTTCACACACACATACACACAAACATAAACACATTTTTCTTACCAGGTCACTAATTATCCATCCAAGCTAAATACTTTAAAACACGCTCGTACGTACGACCCACACACTCTTAATGAAAACATGATTAAAACAGAATTTTGTTACTTAATTAGTCAACTCCTTTTGGTGGCTTCACAATAAGGATGGGACAGTTGGCGTGATGGGCACAGTAATCGCTAACGCTCCCAAGAAACGCTCTTCCAAAACGCACAAAAGCAAACAGATTGCAAAGCGGTCAGGAAATTTTCAGTTTGGTTTTAAAAGATAGTAAAAAATGCGAAAAAAAAAACAAAAATATGTATTACACCTTCTGATCTTGCCAAGGCCACGACTACCCACAACGAGAAGATCAACATGCATTTGCTCCACCGCCTGGCAAATCATGTCCTTCGCGTCGCCTTCAAGCACCAGAGTTTCAGTACGTATCTGCGTATATATCTCACACGATTTATATGTATAGTTAGTGAAATATATATACTCATGACTCATGAGGAGGTGTTTTCCAATCATTGCATATATACACGTTACGTATAATATAACCAAAGATTACTATTGTCGTCTAGGTAATAGCTGTTGTAAATCTATAGATGCATTAAACACGAACGTGTTTGATATTGTGAATCATGTTTTTAATTTCAGTGTTATTCAAATAAAATTACAAAAATGTTGTAGAACACGTAACTGTGTTAATTCTTCGTGTAGGACTGAACACGACACGAAGCATCAAAAAAAGTTTTCGACAGAGATAATCTACAAGCCCGTTTTTGGTGCACTAGCTATGTTATGGTTATAGCCTAATCAAGCCTTATAAATTACTAAAAAATGTAAATAAAAGAGATTGAAGAGCAACCTGTTTGGCTCGGCACATTTGGAGTGCACGCGAGAGAAGCGCCGCAGAGGTCTCCTGTTGCGCTTTTTTCACTGACTCTATCATCGACGAAGATGCGTAGACTGCTGATGTATGTACATCCGTTCACAGAACCAAGTTATTCACCATATCATAAAGTCAAATGTAAAATAATTTTGCTTACTTAATTTATTTACTTTTTAAATTAAAGACAGAAATTAAAATCTAAGATGTTATTCAACAAATAATAATAAGACGGGTAATATATTTAGATTTAATATGTGGGTCTAAGCCCCAAAAAAAAAAAGGGAGGAAGATCAATGGACCGGACCTGTCGCACCGCCGGGTCCAGCCGGAAAAGCAGCAAAGTGATGGAACGGAGACTGCACATGAACCACCGTGAGCATGCCACTTTCCGCCTCAGTGGTCATTAAGAGGGTAGAGAAATGGTCAATGACCCATTGAAGGGCGTAGAAGCTCGAATCACTCTCATCGATGGCAACCATCATCCTCTTCGTCCTAGTCACACTCGGTGTTTCAGCCTCTCTCGTCTCTGGCTGCTTCTCCACCGTCGATGTTTCCATCGCCGCCGTTGCTTGATCCTTTGCCATTGATATCCTTAATAGTTTTTTTTTTAATCAATTAAATGATGTGAGCAAACTTTCTTTCGTTTGCAATGCTTTATATATTGCATGTAAGGGTGATGCGTCTTGAAATGCAGTGGACACGTGGCATGCATGGTTGAGATTGTAACGTGCAATGGAGATATACATTCGTTTTCTTTATTACTTTTTATTTGTAAAAAAGGTGGGCTATGTTGATTTAAAAATAATGTAAAAGTTGGGTGCGATATGTTTCTAGTGGTTTGTAGTTGTTTGTTTGCTTATGCTTTCGCTTTGATCGTGGCTCTCTCTATCTTGATCCTTTTTCTTATATTTTAAACGCCACTCAACATAAAGAAAAAGGAAAACAAGAGAAGCAGAAAGAAAAATTTAGTTCAATTTGAGGAGATCGAAACGCAATGTAAGCTTTTAATAAGAAGATAGTTAAGCCAATTTATCGTTTGATCTTTGAGATTTATTTTTATGAAAATTTCACAAAGCTTTGGTAATTTATGTATGACATCTAAGTAGCATGCTTACGCAGTATAAGTACTTTTTATCCCGATACTAATTTTTTAGGTTATTATGCAATTAGTTTAGACATATTGTATATACTTTGTTTTTTTTGTGTCAAATTATTTTTCGAAAGGATTCGAATCTTGCGGCCGGTAACTTTCGTGTATATTCTAAACATGAGATTATGTTACTTATATAAAAAAACAGTATATAGAAAAGATTATAGTAGTGTAGTTTAATTATTTAGTTTGTATTGTTAATAAAATTGAAGCGGTACGGGACTGGGGACGGTATACTTATAACACTTGGAAAGTACAAAGAATATAGTTACGGTAAATTTTTCCCTCTTAATCTAATCGTCCGATTAATATTTTCCTTAGTTGCATCTAAAAATCTTTCAACTACGTACTTCTTTTTAAAATTTGAGAAAAAAAATCATATTGAAATACAAATAGTAGTCATCAGAATCGTTTTTTTTTTTATAAAGTTGTGAGTGATTTTGTTAACAGTTTGTAAAATGAAAGTTTTAAAATATGAAATATAGTGGGAGGGATCAGGCCAAATGAAAGTTCTTTCAAAAATTGACTGATGAGAGAGTATGATTGAATGACGTTTTCAGTTAGAATCCTCATTTCTCGAAATAGCTTCAGATTAGGTTTCGATATCAAATCAAAGATAGTGAAAAAGTGAGGAATAGCAAGAAAAGGAGAAAAGCAAAATGTTGATATGATTAACATAAAAAGCCACTACTATTTTTTTTTAGAAAACAAAAGAAGCCTCTCCAGCCACATAAGAATAGATGGGGATGTATATAGATGATGATAATTAATAAGAGGTTATCCAGATAATATTTTGCGGATTAAATTATTGGAATAACTGTTGCACTGAATTAGTGTGATTGGTGTAGTCGATATGAATAGTATCATATAGCTAGTGAGTAATATGTTATCAACGTACGAATCTATATCGTCTTTGATGGTCAAATTCTAAAGAACAGAAACTGATTTGTACAAGTTTCAGTCAGATAGTGCATTACCAAAATATATATTAATGTTGAAACATATGGGTTTCAATACAAAATATGGATCATTAGTTTAAATACTTCAACTGTTAATAGACCAATCATAGTCTTTGTAGACGATGTGAACAGAACCTCCTCCATCACCAAGAAGATGGGTTAAAAGACCTGCTTTATTTGCATCTATATAACTCATTATCCACTTCAACATTTTCTTCTCTCCACTGAAATCTTCTTTGTACCTACATTTACCACATCAAAAACATATCAAATGCTATATACTAAATTTGTAAATTAAATAATGCTTTGAAAGATTTTGGCAGATAACTATTACTACATCTATATCAATAACTTTCAATTTGGTGTAAAATCTCATTATTCAGTTTAAAATGTAGGAGTTGTTGTAAAGAGAATTAGTTACCACTTGATGATTCTTGATAGATGAATGACTCTCTTGTCCAAGACAATCTCAATTCCACCATTCTGAAAAAATTCTCTCGCAGCTCGTTTAAGCTCAGCTTCAACTCCTCCGGGTGTAAAAAATCTCACCACTGGACTTGATTTGGTTCCATCACAAAGCCCAAAATGTACTAATGGATTCAGTTTTTGAAGCCCAACCTGCCATTAAGGATGAGTATTACACCACAAAACAAAAAACCATGTTTAGACAATCTGCTCGGTCTTATGGATGGACAGATGGTTAAACTTACCTCGCTCCGTGTGTTGCTGTTCATAAACGGCTTGATCAACGGATAAGACGGTCTGCGACCGCCACAGAGGATGTCGTTTCGTATGGAGCTAAGGGAATAAGAGTAGCCTCCTACGATGTACTGAAAATCGGCGAAGAAGGATCTTCTTGCCATCATTCCATCAGAACGTCCGATTCTGATCAACGCATGGATCACCATTGCATTGTACAAGTTCAAGAAAAATGCAAACTTCTCGGCTGTTGAGAGTTCGAGAAGATTCAACCGGTGAAATTCTTGAACCAGATTCAAGTACCTTCATCACCAATCCATGAGGCATCAACCAAAACTGAATCAGTTAATTATTATCTGCGTAAACTGTAGATATCATCGAACCCAACAAACTGAAAAATGTACCTTCGAAACTCCTCGCTCCGGCTGATTCTCATGTAATCAACACGAGAATGGTCATGCGAAGAATAAGACTCGAGAATAGCACTCATTATTTTGAATAGCTTATCTCCAACAATGCCTGCATTTTGTGGCTCCATGTCGTTGGTAGAGCCTCTAAAATTGTAACATTTTGATATAAATGGCTCGTGCTCAAGGAAACGGTAGTAATGATTTCCATCTTCAAAGTCGTTTTCTCTACCAAATTCGAAAACAATAGAAAGTCCTTTAATGAAGAAGAACAATTATGTAAAAAATTCTTTAAAAAAAATAATAAGAAACAAAAGAAAAAGTTATGTACCCAAAGACATGGTGGATAAAGTGTTTCTTGGCTATACTCTTGCCAATTTCGACCGCCTGCATATAAAAAACTCGCTTATAAAAAAACTTGTATTATATCAACAAAACGTACGTAATAATATATATAGAAACTATTTATATAGTTAAGATTTGGCTAATATTTAATTGTAAATTTACGAGTAGATATTTAATTGTTAAGATTTGGTTAAATATTTAATTGTTGCACGTTAAAATGAGAAGAAAACATTTGTAGATATATAGTTAAGATTCGGTTTAATCTAATACAGTATTGATTTGAAACCAAACTATACAAGTGGTAGTGTCTACGTAAAGATAATATAGGCGCGTAACACACGATCAAAATTTTGAAAACCACACATACGTAACGTACCTTCTTCCTCCCGCAATCCAAGTGATCAATGAGTACCTCGACCATCTCGCCACCGGAGAAACAGTTCTTGACGATCTTCATCTTCACCAAACGGTCCTTTATCGGTAGCTTCTGTCTCAAAACCCTGACGAATCCCATCATCTCATCCGCCACAGCGTCCTTATAATTCTCTTCGTCGAACCCGTACATTACCGGCGACGGCGCTTCACCGCGGCACTTCTCCGTCAGCAACTCCTTAATCCTCCGGTCGAATTCTCCACTGTTTCTCAGCGAATTCAGCGCGATCAATCCGCCAAAGTGTTTCTCGTTGAAGAAAATCTGAGGGACTTGCGAATTCCCGGTTCTCTCGATCAGCTCCTTCTCTCTCTCGGTGTACACGTCGACGTTGATCTCCGAGAAATCGAACCCTCGTTCCCGGAAAAACAATCGGACGGCGGTGGAATCGCGGCAATTGGATCTCGAGAAGAAAGTGATCCGGCCTTTGATTTCTTCCTCGCTTTTCAGCTTGACGAGAACTTTGACTCCGGAGATTTCGAACTCTGTCACGTCGGATTCGGCGAGATCCGAGATCGAGTCGTCACCGTCGTCCTCCTGCAGAAACGAGAGACGCTTGGAAATCGCGTTGCCGCTCTGGCGGATGAGTTTCATCATTTCGACGGTGAATTTCTCCGGCGAATACTTGGGCGGATGCATCAGTTCTCCTAACGAGACACGGCGGCTACGTGGCGGCTCCAGTTTCGGAAGCTGAGGGTGCGGTGGGAGAATCCTCTCGAGACGCCGGCCATCGATCGAGATTTCCTTCATCGGAATTTGAGCTCCCGGAGATTCTGAGTCGACGGCTTTACAAATAGGAAAACGATTAATGGGTGTGGCGGGATGTCCGTGATCACTGGTCGAGTTTGAATTTGAATTTGAATCTGAAGAAACAATATCCGAAGAGATAGTGCAACTTTTGATTTCTTCTCCATTTTCGATGATACCGTTCCTAACTTTCTCAAGTTTTCTCGGGGTTTCACGGGAAAATCTACTTCCCTCCTCGATATTTTTTCCTAAATCCATCTCTAGAGTTCTTCTCTGTACCCAAAACAGAATGTTGAAATGGACATATATATATAAAAAAACAAATTTGAACGTTTTTAGGAAATAAGAGAAAAAGCAATATTAGCAATTCAAAATTTGGTTTCATGCATATCTCCAGAGTCAAAATTACATTTAACTCATTTATGAGCTTGTCAAATTTACATGTTCTACTACTTAACTCCAAAATCATAATGTGATAAATTACTTATGACTTACAACGAAATAAACCAAACCAAATGAAGTTATCCGAACCAAGAGAGAACCATACTTTTAACCGAACTTGATCCAACCGAACAAACCACATACCAATGGAAACCTATCTAGCAATTAAACTCCTTAACCATTCTGTCTGTCTTCTTTTTTTTTTTTACAATATTTATGTTTAAGTTAAAATTCTGATTTTTCTAAAAAATTAGGATTAGGAATATGCTTTAAAAGTGTATATATTTTCCTCGAGTCTCAACCATGAATTAGTAAGCTTGTCTAAATGATCATGAATAAAAAACATACGATAAAATGTTGCATAATGTTTGTATTCGATGTACATTGGAATCATCGCTGACGTTAAACACTATGCCAATAATAGTCCCATACAAAACAACGGACTGGAAACAATAATCTATGACTAGCATAATTGTCGATTTCATCATCACCATTGTAGGAAAATGAAGACAAACTGAAATATTAAAGGATAATTGGGGGAAAAAATAAAAATAGAGAAATGATAAGAATATTGTTTTCCAACTAAGAGAGATGAGTACACAGAATATTTAGAGAGAAACGAAAAATATCTCGGAAAGTGGTAATCGGCATACTTTGAATTCATACAAAAGAAAGAAAAAACACTTGGCTGAACGTTAATTAACAACATAGAGAAGAAGAAATAATTTTTGATCATGAAATTACATATTTTCCTCAATTCAACAGTGGAACACATAGTTAACAATAATATACACATAATGCTGAAGTTCACATAAACTACGTAAAAACGTCATAAGTAGTTAATCTAATCGTGATTGCATGTATATCGGTGCACGATCCAATATTTGTTTTCCTTTGGTTTTGTTTTGGATTTACGAATTAATCTAAGTGAAGTAGATCTTAAACAAGACAAATTATAGCTTTTTTTATATATATAGCTCTGTGTAGTGAAGTAATAATGAAAGAAAAACTACTTACGAAAACACTAAACTATTGATAGATTGTTTCGATTACGATGAAATGAGTAAGAAGAAGAGTTGTTCAATGACAACCCTCAAAATTACATTCATTGCTCGTCATTACACACATTTATATAGTATAAACCTTAGAGAATCTATATTAATAGAAAATCTTAATTACACGGGCTTGTGACCTTATCATGGGACACAATATGAAAATTGTCGTGTGTGCTTTACAAAATCTAAATTGCAAAACTTCATCTGCGGTTTAAGATTCAGTGCAATTTAGGGTTTTAGCAAAATGTATTTCAGTTTAAAGATCTTTAGTATAATTGATACTTTAGTATAGTCTCGACAGGCTAAAGTTGGATTCACACATTTTAACTAGTGTGACAGGAATATATATATATAAAAAAAATCTAAACATTACTTTTCCGTTTGATTTTTCCTAAAATATATGAAAGTTGTATTTCTATTTACCTTATTTTAACCTTTTAGAAGAATACAGAGAATGATAATCAAAACAAACTTAGGACACTTTAAGCTGCTGAGAGTAGAAGAAAGCCCATAAGTTCACCGAAGGCCTCGCGCACCGTCACGGTGACGGTTATAGTCCAGCCACGTGGAGAGTTTTCATTTGGTTTCAGCATATTGAGAGTCGTATCTGTCGCATTCTCATTAGCCTGTCATGTTCCTCAAACGAACCCTATATAAATCTGAATCCGAATAGGATTTGGAAGTTTACAATATAAACCCTCATCTTTGCGGAAAATATCGTAAATATCCCTTGAGAAAGCGAGAAGGAGTAAGAAAATAGCGATTGATCTCCTCTGCAAGTTCTCTATTTCTTCCCTCACTTCTTCTTCTCCCTTTGATTTATTCTCTGTTCGGCGCTCTCTTTCACTTCTCGATCCGACCGTCAATCGCTCTCAGAGGAATGACTATGATGACTCCGCCGCCGCCGCTTGATGTAATCTCCGATTAACCTTCTTTCGTCTGCTTTGTGTCAATTAGTTGTCGTGTTCGTGGGTTTCTTCGCGTATTTTACCTGAACCTGCTTGGGTTTCGTTTGGCTGATCCATTAGGGTTTTCAATCCTTCGATTTTTGTTTTCCTTTTCTGTATTTGTCTACGAAGCGGTAGAATCACCGAGAAAGTATCGTGATTTTTGTGTAGTAGATGATTGCGGTTTTTTTTTGTTTCGACGTTCTGATCACGGGGTTGGTTGATTAGGGTTTCTATTAGTCAGAAGTCTGATTTCTCGTCTTACAATTTTACACAGCAGCAAGAGGACGAGGAGATGCTCGTTCCGCATTCTGATTTGGTCGAGGGACCCCAGCCCATGGAAGGTAAGATTTTCGGGTTTAATTGAGTTTGATCCGCTTTTCTATCCTCGTCTATGTTCTTCCGTGGTTGGACGATATAGCACCTGTGGATAGTGCTATACGGTGGAAGCATTAGTTTTCACTGTGCGCTAGGGTTTTGTCAATTTTTGGTTTGTGGGTTTCTGAACAATCGTTGATGCATTTTGTAGTTGCCCAAGCTGAGCCTGCTGCTACTACCGTGGAGAATCCTCCACCCGAGGATCCTCCCACTCTGAAATTCACGTGGACTATCCCAAATTTCACTAGGCTCAACACCAGGAAGCATTACTCTGATGTATTTGTTGTTGGAGGTTATAAATGGTAAATATATTTTTCACCTTTTCAATGCATTTTTTTTTTTTTTTGCAACTGGTTTCCTGATGTGCAGTTTATTGGTTTGACATTATTTTGAGCTGATTTTTTTCTCTTGCAGGCGAATATTGATTTTCCCCAAAGGAAACAATGTCGACCATTTGTCCATGTACTTGGATGTTGCTGACGCTGTGAATTTGCCTTACGGGTGGAGCAGATATTCACAATTCAGCCTGGCTGTAGCGAATCAAATCAACAGCAGATATACCATCAGAAAAGGTATCTTAACTGATTAAGTTTGTTCATATATTTAGCACTCTGAATGCATGCCTAAAATGAGTAACAACCGGGCAAATTTTTATTGCTCGAAGTTAAGAGTGTTGAATTTGTAAATGGAGTATAAAGGAGTTATATAGAGGAGTTAAGCTACTGGTTTCTTTAACATTGACCATAATTTACCTGAAATACTGAAGTGAGCATGGTTAATGATTAATATGTGACCTATGTACGTCTCTGAATTTTCTCAACATCCTGGGTCTTTTCTGTTCAACCTGCTGTTCTGATAAGTAAATGCATTCTTCATTGTAATTACTTTATTTTTGTATGGCTGCAGAGACCCAGCATCAATTCAATGCAAGAGAAAGCGATTGGGGGTTTACATCATTCATGCCTCTGAGCGAGCTCTATGATCCCACTCGTGGATACTTAGTGAATGATACTGTTCTAATTGAAGCTGAAGTTGCTGTGAGGAAGGTTCTTGATTACTGGTCATATGACTCAAAAAAAGAGACTGGTTTTGTTGGACTTAAGAACCAAGGTGCTACCTGTTACATGAATTCTCTCCTGCAGACGTTATACCACATACCTTACTTCAGAAAGGTGGGATGCATGTCTTGTTTTCTTCTTTTTAACTTGCTAAATTACGAGTTTTCCGAATTGTAGATAAAGACATCTGAACTTTGCACTGTTCTTGTAGGCTGTTTATCACATGCCAACGACTGAGAATGATGCACCTACGGCTAGTATCCCACTGGCGCTCCAGAGTTTGTTTTACAAGCTTCAGTATAATGACACCAGTGTAGCGACAAAGGAGCTGACAAAGTCGTTTGGTTGGGATACATACGATTCGTTCATGCAACATGATGTTCAAGAACTCAACCGAGTTCTCTGTGAAAAGCTTGAGGACAAAATGAAGGTATGTCTTCTTCTGCGTAGCCTTTCTTCCATTCGCAGTTAGTGATTTGTGTTTAAATTTATTTTTTTGCTTTCTCAAGGGAACTGTTGTGGAGGGAACAATACAGAAGCTATTTGAGGGTCACCACATGAATTACATTGAGTGCATTAATGTAGATTACAAATCTACGCGAAAAGAATCATTCTATGGTATGTAGTTTTGAACAATACCCTTTCTTCTGGCTTCTATTTTATCAGAAGCTGATATATTTTATAAACTAACTTTACCGCCGTGTAATTTGTCTTTTGACAGACCTACAACTTGATGTGAAAGGCTGCAAAGATGTTTATGCATCTTTTGACAAATATGTTGAAGTTGAACGCCTTGAAGGAGATAACAAATATCATGCAGAAGGACATGATTTGCAGGTCGACTGTCCTCTTTCTTTTTTTTTTTTTTTTTTTTTTTAATTCTGTCAAAGCTGTCTTCTTTCGTTCATTCATCATTTGTCAAAGTCTTTATTTTGGTACCCATCTATCTAGTTTTCCGTGTATTATACGGTGTCGGTTATGCGATGCGTCTGAATGCGACCAAGCATGCTAAATTAAGAATTTATAGAAAGCCTTATAATTCAGTATTGTTTGAACTTGATAGAAATGTATTTGACTAATTTCATAGTTACTTAGTTCACTCATAATCTTATATTTAAATAATTTTATATTTTCAGGATGCGAAAAAAGGTGTCCTCTTCATAGACTTTCCACCCGTACTTCAACTTCAGCTCAAGAGGTTTGAGTATGATTTTATGCGAGACTCAATGGTGAAGGTCAGTGTTTGAAGTTCCACTGACCCAGCAAGTGTTAAAATTATTTGTGCTTGCTCTATTATTTGCCTGTGAGTGCTGACTTAGCTTTATATATAGATAAATGATCGATATGAGTTTCCTCTTCAACTGGATCTCGACAGAGAG